TGTGTTTTGAATAGTAACAGTCGCTCCTAGCAACAACTAATCATCTGTAGAAATTTGGCTGACTCGCGCTGGGTTTGAGCTGGGATTCGATACCATATGCATGGCAGTGGCCCCTCCTGTCACCACACCATCTCCGCTCGATTGAGCGTTTTTGAATAGTTCAGCGACCATTCAACAAATACACATTTATCACACCTCATTCGTGGAACAAGACAATGTCCGGTTGGGAACGCACTTGAAAAGAATTGCAAGCCGCACTTTGTAGAAGTGCTGCTCCCCTGCCTACAGGCTGCGCCCACCGGCTGCTTCTCCTCTAACGAATTTTCGCTGGTTTTTATGCTCGAAAGCTGCGTCATAGGAGTGTTCTACTACCACTTCCGCATCAAACGAACTGACAAAACTCCGGAGGTTGGAATTTCCAACGCAGTCGTAAAACGCTGTCGTCCTCTAACTGGCTTGCGGCCGATAAAAACCTCCATCCGTCATCGGTTTGCTTATGTTTCACCTGTTTCACAATAATTGAGGGAAATATTAGAACCATTAACACAATACAAAGAGTGTGAGACTCGAAACTACCTTTGCCCAGCGTGCCTCGCTTAGACTTCTGATACTTCGCTGACAGAGTAAGAATTACCAAGTTTCTAGTTGTGCACAATTCCGCCATAAAGCGGGCCCTCCGATCTCAATAAGTGCCAAAACTGTGGTAGTGACTTTGACTACGAAGTGGGACACATGTGTACCACCAGTAGTCAAAGATTAACTTACGCAGGATGACTCGCTTTAGCTTCTGACGATTAATTGTCATAGTAAGAATTAGAAAGCTTCTATATGTGCACAATTCAGCCATCAAATGAGCCCTCCTGCCTCAATATTCCCTGGAACTGTGGTAGTGTCTTTGACTACGAAGTGGGACACATGTGTCCCACCAGTAGTCAAAGGGTTAATAGCACTCGATTGCATAAATTCAATCAAGTCTTCAGCAAATGATAACTTTCATTTCTATCAAGAAAGCCCAAACTCATTAAACCGCTAATCCTTTCGGGGTTCTAAATAATGGTGAATGTAAATAAATGATAAGCCTTAGCTCCTCACTTATGTAAATAGGCATATTTCATTTTAATTTTGAGACTGACAGCAATCCTATTCACCGCTAAATTATCTGAATTCAAGAAGAATGCTGGATGTTTACAGTTGTGAGATAAATATGCCAGTTCAGCTCCAGACGTTATCACGCGTATTCTCGATGGACTTCAGCGAAACTGGGAAAGGTCTAACACATTCAATAGTGAGGTGGTTAATGGAGTACCTCATGCTGATATTCCATGGGTCCTCCAGTTTCGCTAAAGCCTGCCGTGTGATGCGCGCGATAGCGGGCGGAAGCAAAACTGGTTTATATATAAGTAGTATTTATCACACAAGTTCCAATTGAATCGTTGGAACTTGATTGAGATGACCGACTTTAATTCCGCCAAACCATTATAAGGTTCAGAAGTAGTCCCAATTGTCAGACGATCAATGTCTTACAGCTGTATTCCGCGCCCCCGCGCCCTTGTGCATTATTCCGGAGCCGGCTGTTTCCCCTGTATCATTTCTCTGGCAGTGAGAATAGCCGACCTCCAATTTGCGCGCAGGTTCAGAACGATGATACAATTAAGTTCCCGGGAGAGCGCTAGAGATTTTAAGTATGGCGGATTTTACATTGAGGGGGGATTCCACGGTAAGGTCGGGTTCTGTGTCGTTTCTGATGGTTTTTCTTCATCCCACCGCTACCTTCTTTCTATTAGACGCCTTCCTATCTCAAACCCGCTTAACGAAGTAGCAGTGATTCATTGAAAGTTTGGGAAGTCTGTAAACGTGTCGCATTCATTGTGAATTCAATATCCTTTTTTCCTCGCTTTACGAAGCGTCGTTGAGTGAAAAAATATACTATTAAATTAATCGATGCTGCCGTTGTGGTCGTTGTAAAGGCTAGAAAAAGGGCTGCTGCACTTTGGCATTGGCTGTGTTGTTTCAGTGTGGAAAATGTGCTCTCTAGTCTTGAAGAGTTCAAACCAGAAGAATTTGGATTGCCGGCTTTCGATGTCGGCGTACATAAATGAATGCATCTATGTACAGCCACGTGTTCAATCTATGGATGACGTAGTTTTCATCGAGCGACTCTTCGTCGATATCACGGGAAGTTTCGGACAACATGAAAAGTGGGTATTCATCGGGATTTTCCACGTAATTTATCGACTTCGTCGTGGTTACTTCAGTTATCTTTGTTCACCTACATAAAGCGGTTGCTATTTCCTGTATGTTTTCAGTTACGCCGTTTTTTTCACTGAATGAAGTTATTGTGTTTTGGTAATCTTGTGTATTTATGATCTGCAGATTGTAATCGACACATATCAATCTCCTTATAAATCTCATTGAGCAATAATCTTCTTTCATTCCTGTTGTAATTATCTTGATACCTCACACCGGTTTGGCCACGTTCATAGTTCTCGACTCGGGAGATTAGGATAGTAGTAGAGTAGGAGATTGCGCTGACAAGATTGGATACGTATCGATTGAAATCGCTGGAGAGTAGTAGATTGGGCGACTTCAAGCGAATAGATCAATACATATCTAATCTTGTCAGCGCACTATCCTAATCTACTACTATCCTAATCTCGCCGTCAATACATGTTTTTCATTGTCGCGTACTATCCTAATCTCCGGAGTCGCGAACTATGAACGCCGCCTTAAGGGGTTGGCGTCATTGACCGCTTCTTCGTCACCCAATTGACTTTTCTTCAAAGTCGTGATGGCCGCTGACCGCGACTTTGATCTATACAATATTTTCTGTGGGCTATCCGGTGTAAAACTCAATGTAGTCATTCAAAAAAAAAAAAAAAAAAAAAAAAAAAAAAAAAAAAAAAAAAAAAAAAAAAAAAAAAAAAAAAAAAAAAAAAAAAAAAAAAAAAAAAAAAAAAAAAGGGATGGGGTGCCAGCCAGCCAATCTCTGAGCTTGGCTGGCTTGGGTGAGATCTGATCCGTGGCTTGTTCGCCGAAACAAGATGTGTTCCCGAAGCTTCTTGTCATTGTCACCCTCATCCTGTTCTTTTCAAGTTAATTTTAGAACTGTTGGGTTGATGCATAATTGTTGTATTGTATTTTTTATGCCTCATTGGTAGAGCTAGGTGCGTGGCGTATATGAAGTCGAGGAAAAGAGGTGGGGTCCGGGGGATGCTGGAGTGAAAGATAAAGTCGGAACGTTGACGGACGGGGTGCGCTCTTAGACCGAAACAAATACGAATCAGTGTAAAGGGAGTGACGATGGAAAAGTGGAGACTTTATAAGACGTAGCGAAGTGTTGAAGTGTTGGTTGCACCGAGCACTCAAATCTGACACGTTTTCAACGACTTCAAGATCTCTGTTTTCTTTTCAAACGTAGATTCAGTTATGAACGCTCTTATGCTTGTCTGCTTATTCGTTCGCTTTCATTCGATTTTTAAATGAGCTTTATATCATTTTATGACTTACTGTTCTAGATTTTCTTTTCATAGGAACTAACTTGGCACTTATGAAGCCATCTGTAAAGGCGACTCACGTGATTTTTGATGTGGATGGCACACTCCTGGATACCGAAATCTGTTACACTTTGGCCAATCGGGCAATGTTGGAGAAATATGGTCGTGAATTCACAGCTGACATGCAAGCACGTCTGTGGATTCTTGATATTGAATTAATTCTCAAGACGAGTGGTGTTAATATTTTGTTACAAAAAGTCTAGAATTGCGAAACGCATTTCGGAATGATAGAAAATTTTAGTAAATGCGCGTATACTGTTCACTTCATGCAGTTTATATGCTTTATCCCTATGGGGAGAAGGAGATGTTCTTCAATGAAGGCTTGTTCTTTATAGAGATGATGGGAAGAAGCGGCCAGGAAGCTAATGCATGGCTTCTAAAAGAAGTGAGTCATTTCGTATTCCTCCTTGGCTTTTCTTTTGTACATCTTTTGAACGTTTTAACAACTTCTTGAACTCTAAATTGTTCTTACCCTTACTCTGGTTTCTGTATTCAAAGGTTGGCCTTTCTGACAAAATTTCTCCTGAAGACTTCGGAGTCGAAAAAGATTTTATGCTTGCTGAGATGTTTCCTAAATGCCGAGCTTTGCCAGGTGCTGAGCGTCTTGTTCGGCATTTTGCTAAGAAACGTACGAATCTTCATTGCTTATTGCAAATTTTCTTTTCTTATATACTGTGTTTAGAAGTTCCAATGGCAATATGCTCAGGCTCTTCCTCGCACAAATTCGAATTGAAGGCTACTAAGCACCATAGTTGGTTGGATCTAATTCCTATAAAGGTATTCGTTAAACATCGTTGGCGAGTTTCTCGGATTCATTCCAATCCATCTTTAGCTGAGACTGCTGCACACTTTAGCACGTGTATGGGGTTGGACACGCAGCAATCGAGTTGAGTGCGAAAGTGACTAGGAATGGCGCGACCCCGCGTTTTGTCGCAACGACCCAAATCTGTTAGCAAATTTTACTCGGGATTTATGTATAGTATGTGAATCATCTTTGGGGTGGCTAAAATTCTGATCCGGTGTTTATTAGCATGTAAAAAAACAAGGTGCACTTCTTCAAGAAATTTTATCGAATGGTAAGATCATAGATACAAGTACGGTTACTTGAGGTACTGCGAAGTGATTGCCTTTGGTCAGAATGCAAGCTTCCACTTCAGCGGAGGCTTCCACGGTAGGCCGTAGGTTGTTGACATCAGTCTTCTGCCCTTCCCTCTGAAGCCCTGCTTCCAAACTTTAAAACCTGT